TTTTTTTTGACTCCTCAGACAAGCGATCGTTACGGTTATGAGAAAGGCATTTCTATCCCTTTCCAGTCTCCTGTCTCTGTGATGCCACATGTCTGTCGCATCGACCATCGATTTTACCCCCATTTCTTTTTGTACCAATGTGCCACGACCACCTGTCTCCTGGTAAGGCCCAAGGCTGGACACGCAGGTTTTCCGAGTGATCCAGCAGGATTTCCGAGAGCCCGACTTGTTTGGTGAAACGTTATGCAAACATGCTGCAGGTTATCACAGAAACATTCCAGACAGCTTGTCGGGTGAGGAGGGGAAAGATATACCTGTTCCTCCAGGAGAACGTTTCCGGCTTAGATTAGAGCGATCGAGACCAGTGGATTCGGCTCGCTGAACAGAGGACAACTCCATATTACTCCGTACTTTTTGGCGGTACGCCCACAATAGTTATGGGGCAGCCAAGTCGTTCTTGTGAAAAGCCTCCCTGTGTAGTGGTCTAGATGCGGTCAGAGGAGCGCTCCATCTCCTCTGACGCTCCACACCTACATTATCGAGCCATGTCACGATAGGCGCCCTCTGTGCCATCCAATAACAGCCTGGCAGGAGAGAAAAATAAATTCAGGGCAGAAAGTTTACTTTGGCGGTGGTACCTGAAAAAGGGTGACCTCCCTCAGGATGTGAGAGTATATATTCCTTCATTCGCCCTCCCAGACTTTTCCTTCTCCTTGTACCTCCCAACTTTCTTTAACATACCAGACTTCACTCCTTCAAGTCTCTCAGTCATTCCTTACTACGCTTCCGCGAAGCGTGCCAATCCCTACCTTGCTGTCATTTACAGTCATTCATTCATACCAATCCACCGCTAGAAATTCCTTGCGCAAGCATCTGTCGATTATAACCTTAAATCACGAAAATGGTCTCCTTCAACGCTCTTTTCGTTGCTGCCGCATTGGCTAGCTCTGTCATCGGTGCTCCCGTCCAGGGAGCCAATGGAGGCAAGCGTGGTATGGCCTACAACGATCCTCAGGCAGTTGCTGCCTTCAAGGGAACTCGCGCCTCCGCCTGGGCCTACAACTGGGGCTCCAACTCCAACAACATTGGTAATGGCATCGACTACGCCCCCATGCTCTGGGGACAGAAGTTCTTCAACGACTGGACGAAATCCACTCCTTCGATCCTCTCCACCGGCTGCAAATATGTCCTCAGCTTCAACGAGCCTGATATCCCCTCCCAGGCAAACATGTCTCCTCAGGATGCTATCCAGGCACACAAGCAATACATGAAACCCTTCGTTGGCAAAGCCTCTATCGGTTCCCCTGCAGTCTCTAACGGTGGTGGCGAGATGGGCCTCAGCTGGTTGGGCAAGTTCCTCGACGGCTGTGCTGGACAATGCAACATCGACTTCCTTAACGTCCACTGGTACGACTCTGCTCAGAACGTCGACGCCTTCAAGAAGCACATCACCGATTCCATCGACTTGGCCCACAAACACAACATCGACAAGATCTGGCTCACTGAATTCCGCGGAGACGGTGACGACAACTCTCAGGTTCAGTTCTTGCACCAGGTTCTTCCATGGCTTGACAGCAACCCTGGTGTTGCTCGTTACTCCTACTTCATGGCCGATGACCTCGTCAAGGGTGGCCAACTCACCCCTGTCGGCCAGGCCTACGCTTCTTAAGGATTTTGAACTGGCTTTTTTGTTCATATTTGGAAAGGAGTTTTGTATGTAGTTGTCATTTTTGCTCTTTCTTGCCCGACCAATAAAATAGTTTGGGCATTCACTCGTTCATGACATTTTGGCGTTTTTGGTTAAAATATGTATCTAAGCTGGATCGTTTGATACGACAACTTGGTACAAAAACACAGTACATAGCTACGAATGGTCCTACCATTCGTCTCTTCACCTTCTGAGGAGTCAATGAAAGTGCCCCTGGCCATCCTTTGATGGTTGAATCCTGAGAACTTGTCTGTTTATAGTTTTAACTATCCATCGTGAATTGCTGCGGTCTATCTTGGCGAACTAGTTGACCTCTTAGCTGGTTCTTTATTAAATGTTCTCGGCCCTGGGGTTACAGGGGTGAAGCCTGGGCTGTGGGTGGAAGATGTCCTTGTTTCTCCTGAAAACCCACTTTGTGGGAGGGCCCTTGCTGTTGCTAAGTTTAACTCTCGATATGGTCTTTTCACCTCACCAAGCAGGGCATACCGAAAAATCCCGTCTCTGCATCAACCCTGAGAGTCCAAGAAGAGTCTAGCCGAGACATCCGGGTTGCTAACAAAGCTCCCGCCACTCGGGCCCAGCTGAACACATCCACTTGCTCGTGATTCTGAAGGCGCGACGCAGTTTGGATCATGATTTTTTGGGTCCGCGCTACTCCGTATAACTATTAGTTATTAAGCAACGGAGCTGAAGTGTTCTTCGTGCAGAGTACGGAGTGCATCGCTTCACTGAAAGCAAGATGCTGTTTAAGGCTAGGGTTGAATGACTGCCCTAGCAAATGAATGCCTGACTTGCAAAGCTTGTGGTTATTATATATTTCAACTATCAGTATCGGCAATAATAGGGGCAGCATGACGACCAGACAGCTTGCAAAACAAAAGATAAGTCCCAACCGCGCCACAGACCACGACTGAAACCGACACAGAGAGAGAGGCCCATCCACTGAGTCGTTGAAGACCTGTGGATGCTACCAAAAGGTCCCAAGATACCCCCACATCTTCAGTATCCGGCGTTTGCATAGGTGTCTCGTTATTGTTGACTTCATCAGTTTTGTCGGAACTGCTGCTGGACAGCGAATCAGTGCCTTCTCCCCAGAGATTCAGTTGCCAGCTCAAAAATGTCCCAGAGAAATCATTTATTATGGTATCTTTTACCACTATCGTCCAGTTGCCAATGCCGGTTTCGCCCCTGGGAACGGTGAATGTTAGCTAGCCCTGCTCTACGACGCTGAATGCGTACTCGGAAAGCAACATACCAATGTGCAACAGACATAAACGCCCAGCCCGCATAGCCCGAAGTCTCATTATCGTTACGTCGAGTGGTGCTTAAACGGCTGACTACGCCTTCGGGGCTATGCAACTCGATACTAAGATCACCCCGGCGAGTATGGTTGACGTGAGTGGTGACAGTGACATGCTCTAGTCTTTCAAATGCGGATACTGTCGGTGGTTTCACTTCAAAAATACTGGAGAGACCTTTTTTCCCTTGTGGAATGTTCTTGTTTACTTTCACCCATGGAGAGTGATACGATGCCTGGGGCTTCACCAGTTTCCAGTTCCTAGCCATCTGGACCAAGCTGTATGAGTCGACCTTGCCATACCCGTAGTTATGACTGAATGGTTTCCCAAGCTTCGTCATCTGCCAGTCATCTTCTTCCTCGTTGACGGCTACTGCTGTTGTATACAAAAGATATTGAATATCTCGCCAGGTAAGCTCCGATCTTACACTTAGAGCAAAAGCAATGGCACCGGCAACCAACGGCGCAGCTGCGGACGTGCCTCCATGGCCAGAAGCACAGTTTTCGACCCCAACATCTGTCGTATAGATACTGTCTGCTCCATCACTTTGGTAGCCAGCGCTCGCGTATGCAACAACAGATAATGCAGAACATGGTTCAGAGTATTCTGGATGGTTCCCTTCCCGATCGATAGCGCCGACTGCAATCGTATAAATGCTGTTTGCGTAGCCATCGAAATTACAGTCATCGTCGAGATATCCCCCATTACCAGCAGAAACAACGAAAATCGAACCTTTGCCCTGTCTGCCATTTGTCACGCCGTTTTCTAGGGCACGCTTAACCAGTGTTCCTGGTCCTCCAATTACCCTGCCATTGTCAGGAGGACCCCATGAGCAAGAGTAGATATCGTTCAATTGATATCGATAATTGATAGCAGTAGCCTCGTCACTTTCATCTATTTGCCCAGACAACAGTCGAATCCCTGCTATCTTTCCGTCGTATGCCATTCCAAGCCCACAAATTCCATTTATTCCAGCAGCGATCTCTCCTGCGCATCTGGTTCCATGAGTTTGGTTTACAAGTTTTGGGTCAGGCTCCTTTGAATTCTCGACAAAATTATAGGACCCATCAGGGAAATAGTTCTTTTTCAAGTCGGTGCTGTGGAAGTCCAAGCCATCATCGATGACGGCAGTGACAGTCCCTTTTCCTGTCACCCCTTCTAACCAAGCACCAGTAACGTTCATGTCTTGCTCAAGCTGAACGGTATTAAACAAGTGCCACTGTGAGTTGAACAATGGATCAGTGATTCCCAGCGCCGACGAGATCCTACTTCGGGTCCGAACCGCGGCCGCATCCTCAACCCAGCCTGTGGTATTGAGATGCGCCACTGGCGGTTGAGGGATCCGTTTATGCCGTAACTGGAACCCTGGGGTTAAAACCTGGGATCAAAGCACGCCATTGGTACAGTTGATGTGACCAAGTGGCCCCGAAATTGCGTCGACTGGCCCAGTTTTTGACTTCACCACGGAAAATTTATGGTGGTCCGTTAATTCTCCGATTTGGCCTTCGTACCGTGCTCCGAGATGGGTTGCGACTTTTTCGGGAGACACAATGGACATGTTGAGATGCAAGGCAAAGAAATCATGAGTTCGATGAGTTCTTGGGTATGTATCATCTGTTAGTGCCAATGTACTAAGTGTACATGCTGCCAGGACGGATAACCATCTCTCGAAGATCATTCTTGTAATGCAAAGTTGAACGGCTTGGGCACAGTTTTAGGCGTCAAAAACAGGTTTGTAACCAGTTGGGTGATTTCTACCACATCATCTATCCTCACCGTCATGATTTTTGCGTTCAGAGCTCCATGGCAATGGATGCATATCCAATAACCCCGAATGACCAGTTTGATCCTGGTTACCTCGTCATAATGCATATGCGCAACTGTACATGCATCTTGCCAAAACTTTCTGGTAAAGTACTAGTTAGTTGGCAGTCTGCCAGGTCTAGACCCTCCCATCAAGCAAGGTGCATAACTAGTTGATAACCGGAGTACCAGGTAGCACTCTAAGTAACGGAGAAAGCCCGGATAATAGCCAGGCTCATAACCGGGGGTAGCCAATCCTTTGCCAATATTGTTACTCGCAATCCGAATCGTCCGGCTACATGATGCAGATATCCAGCCCATCATTTTGATAATACCCCTGATGTTCTCATACCCGCTGCCACCTCCCCGCATTCCTAGTTCTGACGTTTCAAAGATAACAATCGGTGCTGGGATACAGGATATGCTGCGAATACCCGAGTCAAAGAGGGACGGGCGTTGACAACAGATCCGACAGAACAGTTTTGAGAGAGAACAACTCCATAACTTTATGTATAGGCTTTGCATTTGCTAGAGATTGTCAAGGAGGTACTAATAAGAATTAACAATCCAATCATAACGAGTGAAGTCACCGCTGTTACTGGGCATCGCATTCATTCTCAACGCAACCAGCCGAAGTTCCAAAAGTCCACTTCGATCACTCCGTATGGCACTTCAAGTCACTTCAATACCCTTTAAAAACACAGTTAGCTGCTGCCAGCTGCTCTCTAGATAATTAGTGGAGTACGCACCAATTCGTGGAGCAACTAAGTCGACCCCTTCAGCGCTGGTGACCTGAGTCGGGTTCTCGGCGAGCTCTGGGTACCGTCGTTTCGCCTTATAGCCAATGCGAGGAGCAACAAGATCAACTCCTTCAGCACTGGTAACCTGTGTTGGGTTCTCAGCGAGCTCTGGATACCGGCGCTTCGCCTTATAGCCAATGCGAGGCGCCACAAGGTCAACCCCTTCGGCACTAGTGACCTGAGTTGGATTCAAGGCAAGCTCGGGGTACGACGGTGCCCTTTTTTCTTTAGGTCAATCAGTCAAATGCTCAAACAGCAGGTAAGAACAAATACTAGCCGCCAGTAATAGGGGCAGCAATGGCAATGCTTGCCAGTGCACAGGCAACGACCAGAGAAAGCTTCATGCTGGCAGTGGTTAGAAAGGTAGATGTGAGCAGAATAACTGTTGTATGTTCTCGAATAATTTGAGGAACTGCGAATCGAAAGAACTTCAGATTCTGGTGATGGCTATCGGGGGCTGTTGTTATAGTTATGATATTTCTACTGGTACGCTGCCTTCAATGATCCGCCATTCAACATAGTTACATCTATCAACTCTCGCATCAAACCCCCGTTAGACATCTTTCAAGTCAACTTCACATGCTAATATACTTGCTTCCATGTTTTTCCATAGGATTCAATTGGACATCGTATTTGTTCTCGTCTATCCATTGACACATGATGGCAGAATGCCAATTACATGCCGTAATCCCTGCTATAAAGCAAGCTGGATTTTGAATATGTCTGCATAATTATGCAGCTGCATTTTTATACCTAGGACAGAAACACCTCATTCTGGGATTATGGTCTTTAATGTGCTATCGGTTATCTGGATATGGAATATAACAACATCATATATGCAAGCGATAGTGTCGGAGGCCGGTATCCATGGTGTCATATATCCCTTGCTAAAAAGAAAAGACTCATGCCCTTACGCCCCGCTGCAGACATGCATTAGTTGCTTGCGAGGCTGCAATGCAACTTCACGGTAACCCACGCAATTTGACGGGACAGATATGTCCGAAGATGCTCATTCTCACTATTTTATTGCCTTTGGGTAGACATGAGATTCAACAACCCAGGAACTCAAAGAATCGTTTGATACGAAAATTATCTCTTCAATATTTTATCTCTCCATCATTGAGCAGATCTTTGTGAATATGTTTAGTTTCAAGTTGATGTCTGCAAAAATACCCTATTTGAATCGAGGAGAAGAGTATACATCTCTCCAGAATGGAACTTCTTCACCTGGTGACGAGTGCGAAGTCGAAGACAAGATTCCGTTATATTTAAGGACAATTCCACACAACGCAAATTCTGGTCGGTTCTGGAGATTCTCTGTTATATTGCTTCTCCTTATCACAAATCTGACTACATTTGCCGCTCTCTTTTCCACACAACACCTTACTAGTCGAATCGAAGCAGCCGAGCCAATTCATACGCCAAATTCATGGGGTATGCGCTCAGATATACCAGAAAATCTGACCAGACTAATATGTTCATTATTCAAAGCTAACCTCTCTGCAAAGCACGTATCGACACTCTACCGTCCAAATTCACCCGCTTCAACTGGTGGACAGAGTACAGTGATAAGAATTTCACAGAAACCGATGCTGCTTGGGACTCAATGAATACAGCCCACGGGTTCATTGCTGTGGACCGCAAATGGGCCAAGGAACGACACTGGCCTGACAGTATGCATTTGCCTTCAGATGACAGCAAAAACGTTTATCTTTTGGAGGCATACCATCTTCTGCATTGCGTTGTGAGGCTACATTTACACTGCTAAAATGATTAACATCAACAGCTGACTCCAGTTCAGGCAGTTATACGCCGTACCTTTTGGGAGGCGATCAACAGAGCTGATAAATATACGTTCAATCCGCCACACTCTGCCCACTGTATCGATACTCTACGCCAATATGTCATTTGTAAAGCTGATTCTACACCACTGTATCTCTATGGTGACGATACTGCAGGAGACGAACAGTATCGCAAATGCAAGGACTGGGATGCCCTGAGACAATTTGCTACGGACCACTCTGCCTGCTACATGGATACTCCGCGGGATGCAGACCCAGACACTTTCCCTTTTGGAGCGCACTTCGGGCATTGCGATGACGGAACTGACGGGGTTGTGGAAGGCGAAAGGAGGGGTAACTGGAAGCATGGAGCCGTATGGGACGGTCCAGATGCATAATGTATACTCCGTATAAGTTCTGATTGCCAACATACATGCTCTGTGCAGTAGTTAATATATTGGAGTTTGGCAAGAAGATACTGTCTGTGTTTGATAGTAAAAAAGAGTTTGCGGGTGGATACCGTCCCGCTTCCGTCCCGTGTTTGTTCCAGGGCGCTGGGATTGCTTGGCGCGCCACTTGATTTAATGAGCTAACTTTAAGGTACATATATGTATCAGTGTCTTGATGCAAGTTATCCAACACAAACCATGGGCAAATTGTTGGTAAAGCGTTACTGCAGTTTGATCGGCCAACCCCTGCACTGTGGAGGTTAGTGAGTTACGCTACATCTGTCTGATAATAGCCGGCCAACCCGTACAGCTGGCCCATATTAAAACAAGTAATTACATATCAAAGGATTCAGAGTAAGCATCGTGCAGTTGGACAGAATCACAATCAGTTGGTACATCTTGGGCTACCAGGAAAGCTACCAGAATGAATGCCTGGAAACGGATAATTCGGATCAAAAAGTGCGGGGAAATGGTTACCTGCTAACTCCGTTCCGAATACCCGATAGATAAGATATGTTGTGTTTAAGGGAACACCCCTCTGTCAATCATCCTCTACAGATCACCTCTTCAGCGTAAAACAGAATGAACACGGAAAAGGGCACCAATAACACAGAGATTGAGATCTCTCGCGCATCCCTTTCAGACTTAGAAGATGCTCCCCTCGCACCTGAGCCACACAATTTCGCGCCAAGAAGAGCACGACAGCGATCGAAACCACGATGGCTATCGAACGAGAGCCCAATATGGAAATGGTACTCATTTGTGATGACCGTCTGTACTTTTACACTTATAGTGGTTGTGACATACGTTAAAAGAGATACCAGCTTGGTCTGTGAACCAGCGGAGGCTACGATGACAATACCACGATACCCACACCCAGCGGAGGCCTGGAATCAAGGAAATTTGATCACAAGAAAATATTATAGAGATACGCGATACATGACCTTGGATAAATCAATGGACTATCTTTGGCAAGATCACGTTCACATGGCAACAGGAAATATCAGGCTTCCAGATGGGAAGGGGAACACTACGTTAAAGAGTATTAGCATGTAAGTCGTGCTATTTTGCTCTGCTTTTTCAAGTTATATATTAATCCACACGCAGGTACCATCAGTTGCATTGCCTCGCTAAGATGCGTCATACTTTGCAGCAAGCTCGGGAAGGAGTAGATATTGGAGTTGGCTGGAGAGACGACGCACACTGGCCCCATTGCTTTGACTATTTACGTTCGGTATGGATCCCATCACACTTTAACATCCTTTCAGATACACGAAAATACTTACTTATATAGTCTATCCTGTGTTTTGCGGATGGAACACTAGAGAGTGTTAGCCTACAGCCAGGCCCTACCATGGGAACAGCTGTCAGGGTGATTGATGGCGGCCTAGAGACCAGATATTGTAGAGACTCGAAGCCGCTAGAAGAGCTCGTGCGCCATTATGGGCCCAACTCCCACTATGGTGAGTCGGGAGATTCTTTTGAGGTCCCTGATGGGTCGTAATAGCCTGATCCTCGTAGCAGGATGACCATTTAAGCCGGTCAATAATAAATTCACTTAAAAATAACTAGCTAAGTCTGTTTTAATGCTACTGAGTAAACGTGGTTCCGAACCCATCAAGCCTGGAGCATGGCTCTGCTAGTCAACTTGTTAAACCAACTTCTAAGTTAGCAGCCAACAAAGTCGCTAATCGGTCAACTATAGTTAACCTTTACTTAACAAAGACATTCCTATCCCCTGCTTAATAGCAATGAGTCATTGTGAAAAGACTTTTTACGGAGCGGGGAAAGCCTCCTCTGGTAGTATTGGGTATAAATTTCCAGGCCGTCAACGACTCCTAGCATAATCAATAATCAACAATTAGTTGTGTTCGACTACCTACTGACACAGATTAGCTTCCATTCGTAATGTCTAAGTCTCGGATCGTCCAGCTTGCCCAGCTTATCAGCTCTGGAATAACCGCCATAGATGCACATCTTGGTGATAACGGTCTTCCCACACCGTCGTTCAATCCAGGCAGTCCCGTTGAGGCTGTCACACAAGAAGATATGGTGAGAGTAAAGAACGAAGTTCTCGAGGCTACTATTGAACTTCGGCAGCTCCTCGAAGGGCCTATGAAACTTCTTCTGCCAGAGGTTAGTACATATTCAATTATCTCATCAGAACAAGATTCCCACCGATATTAGAACTAACTCCAATCTACAGTCAAATTTCGCACCCTTGGCTGCTGTCTATAACTTCGACATAGCTTCAAAGGTTCCTATTGACGCAACAATCTCCTTTGCTGATCTAGCAGCCAAATGCAACATCCTTGAACATGATATCCAACGTATCGTTCGCTACACAGCAGTACATCACCGCGTCTTTTCAGAACCTCAGAAGGGCTATGCAGCGCACACCGCAGCGTCAAAACTTCTCGCTGAGAGCCAGGTAGCGCGGGACTTGATGGGCCTTACGTTCCAAGAATGCTGGCCAGCACATAGTCGGGCCGTTGAGGCCATGGCATACCAGAGCGAAGACGCAGGCGTATCCGGCTACGCCCTAGCCAACGACTTCGCTAATTCTTCTATGACTACCTTTGATTTTCTATCAAAGAATGCAGCCCGCGCTCAGCAGTTTGCTCGTGCAATGGGCTCAACTTCAGCTAGCAGTATGGATGCGCTGAGCAACTATTTTGACTGGGCTAATGTGCCTCAGGGGGGTAAAGTTGTCGATATTGGAGGTTCCCGAGGCCATGTTAGCATCCACCTCGCGCGAAAATATCAACATCTCGTATTCGTGGTTCAGGACCTCCCAAATGTAATTGAAGGTGTTGCAGCTGGGAATTGGCAAGATGTGGAGGACAGAATCCAGTTCATGCCGCACGACATGTTCTCCGTACAGCCGGTCAAGAATGCAGATGTCTATTTTCTGCGGTTCGTCCTTCATGACTGGCAGGATTCGTATTGTGTCAAAATACTACGGAACCTAGTCCCATCTCTGAAAAAGGGGGCCATGGTCGTCATCCAGGACCACCTTCTACCAGGTCCAGGTACCATGACGTTATTGCAGGAAATGCAGGTTCGGTAAGAATTTTGTTCCCCCTTTCCGTCGCTAGAATGGCCCTAATTCGGTTTCTTAGGTCTATGGATGCTATAATGCTTTCTCTGTTCAACTCTAGAGAGCGTGATGAGGACGACTGGAGGCAGCTTTTTTCAAATGCAAGTACTGGATTTACACTCATAACGATCAAACGGATTCCTGAAAGCCCGACAACAGCTATAATTACTGCTGAATGGTCAGGTAACGGCCATATCGCAGGGTAGATAAAATTTTATTATCAAGATGCAGAGATTTTGTCTGGAGTAGTTAGTTATAGTCTACTATTTTTAACTTTCTCTGTGAGGCTATAATCAATTAAGAAGCGTCGTCTTTTCCGGGTGTGTCAACTGGGCGCAAAAGCATAATACTATAAATAAACAGCCCGGTTGTCAGGAAGTATTTGGTCAGCCTGGGGGCCCCTGGACGCTCTTCTCTTTGAGGTCTGGTATAACTGGTCATGATTTATATAACGCAGGGTAATTAGCCAACTTTTTTCTCGTTAAACAGCCTGGAAGGAATGTATGAGAACTTCGTCCCCTTGCTAGGAGTGAAATTGAGCCGCATCCACGAAGACAAGGGATTTGAAAAGAATCCTCGCTGTGTATAATTCTAAATTTCATTTAGCTCCCTAAGACTAGGCCAATTAACAACTACGTTGAACCAAGACTGAACGCTTAACCCAAGCCTATTGGAAAACGAATATATGATTAAAGAGAAATTTCATCTTATCTAGTCATAACTTTTCGAATAACTCAAATTAGCCATCAATCATAACCGTTAAGCATAGTGCAATGAGAAATGAAAACAGAGATATAACAAATGAAAAACATTATACAATCTGAAGATGCAACAGGGCCCGTCAGGGTAAAAAAAGAACAAGGAGCTGGGAGATGGAGCCTGAAAAGCCAGCTGACAGGCCAAGGGAGTGGTACGAGGGTAGGTGGACTTAAGGCCCAGCAGTATTTAATGCTGCATAATGCCAGGAAATACGCCGTGCTGATATCATTCTGTCGAGTTAGGCAGGGTTTCAATGGTAACCGCTGTATGCGTATGTCGCAAGTGCATTTTGGTCTTGCAGTGGTATGCCTGTCACGCTGTAGCCCCATTGATCTCTGTGAGGGAGACCGCCGAGATCACCATCGCTAGGTGCTGTTGAGCTTGGCGATGTGGGATATGCCATCCACATGTCTTCAGTGGTATTTCTTGGGATACTGGCATCCATGTGGGGTATCTGAATAGCGCTGGCTTCGTACTGTGGTCCGAGGCTCGAAGTATAAAATGGTGTGTCGTATTCAGTCAGTGATACCTCTTCTTGTTTGAGGAATCCAGCGTATGGACTGGCAATTGGGTCAGGCGTCGTGACCCCTTTTCCAACAAAGCCATAGTCCGTGGTGGGCTTGAACTCAGGTTCTCCATAAAACGAGTCCATAAAATCGTCATCTGGTTCTGCTTTAATATAGGTCTCAGACCCGCAGTGAGTTTTGCGAGATTTTTTTGACCCAGTACGGCTACTGGGGTTTTTTGGTGTGCTCATTGAGGTTGAATGATAGCTCGGAGGGATGTCCATTACGTTCTGGGTCTTCTTTCCCACAGCTGCAAGATTCCTTTCATGGCGGCGCATAAGAATTGAATATCTATATTGCAGTTAGTTAGGATATAATAAAGTAGATCTAGGGAATGATAATGCATTGGCACTTACTGGTTCTTCAGGGCATTTGGAGATCGCAGAGGGAGGTATTGGTTACGGATATCCAGCCAACGACGGCCGTGTTGCTGCACTGCGCGGAGTAGACGTTCATTCTGAAATACCGTATATATCAGCATGGTGCTTTGCATTACAGTCGGTGTATAGTTGCCCTACCTCTTCTGATGTCCACTCAGAGCGATCGAGGGTAGGATCCAGGAAATGCTGCCACCGTTTTGCACATTCTAACACACAATTAGATTCTGAATTGTTTCTTATGAATGTTATCATGATAAAACATACGGTCTGCAGTGCGTTGGGGGACATGCTGGGCAACACGCATCCATCTGTGACTTCCTGTTAGTTCTTTTCCAACAAATATGATGTTCTTCAACTGAATTCAGACACTTACGACTTTCCCTCGATCCGCACGGCATCCCTCAGGTACGAATCTTCTTCAGGTGACCAAGCACCTTTTCGTAGGCCCCCGCTGAGGACATTGAACCATCGTTTCCGGCAGTCTTTGTTCGACCGGCCAGGGAGGCCGGCGGCAATCTTTTGCCAATCAGTAGCTGCGCCAGCAAGGTCATCTAGTAAATACATAACGATGTCAGGCACGGGATATCGGAAAAGGGGGCAGATAGGTGAGACGTACAGGTCTGTTGCTCGTAGAGTTTCTGGATGAGGATTGAGTCCTCTTCCTGAGTCCATCGGTTAATTCGACGAACAGACTCCATTGTAAGAAAGGTAGATGGAAATGAGATAGTGTGACTGGCTTTTCCGAGGTAAACTTTGATGGGTAGAAGGTTGGTCGATCGGAAGTATTGAAATCCACCGAAACTCTCTGGACTTTATGCTTTATATATCTTGCCAGAAACCTCGAGATTGCAGAAGTCAATCGTTGTCCAAAACACCCTTCAAGATTCATAATTAGCTGCACTATTCCCAGCTGCAGATCTGCAGGGTGTTTCTGCTTATCAAGGGGGGCCTATTCTCCTCCCCTTGCCAGACAGGCAGATGCCCCATTCCACAGAGGTAGCATCGCATGACACATAATTCAGGCCCCCATTATGCGATAAATGTGGCAGCGTAGGTAACTTAACTAAATCTACGTTACCCCGGCGCCTCTTCGGACTTAGCGCCTTAGTTGGATATTGCATGTCGCTGGCTACGCCTTCACATCCTATGAGAGAAGCGAGCATCTCAGAATGCACCGTGTTCGACAGGCTGATTTCACACAAAGTGTGGTAGCTGTGGATCCCACTGGGGCGGCGCGGGTGTATAGTTATAGCATACTGAATGCATATAGTCGCAGGGGTCAATTGAGTGCAGGTCGTCGCACAGCCCACAGCCTGGGGATAGACCAAGCATTGTAGGGACCCCGGTGGGCTGGAAAGTTACCGATGTAACGGTCGTGGCAGTCTCTAGCCATGGGCAGCCGCAGGTGAGAACCCTTTTTCTGGTTTGAAGTCTCATACGGAGTACGCCTCTGTATTTTTGTAGCACCTTCGCTGCTCCCCTTGTGGCACATTTCAATGAAAATGTTGCTCACATAACTATAAGTAATCATGGCAGTCAAACACGAGAATGGGACGCCAACACGCCAACTAAATGCAGAGTGAGAAGCTATCGACCGAGGGCTTCTGCTGCTCGCACGTTGAGCATCCAATCGGCATATCCCATGGCTTTTCCCACTGCTGAGAAACAATAGGCTCATGCTGTCAAGACCCCGAACTAGTAGCTCGAAGGCACAGACATGGTTTGTGCCTTAGTACATGGTAGCCTGTGATGGGCTCAGCTTCCTCATGCCCTGGTCAGTCTAGTTTTCGTCTGCCGTCTCTCGGTGATCAAGAGCAATGTCTCCCCTCCCCCATAATAAACCTCTGGTTGGCTTCTTGGTAAAAACATTCATGGCGCCAAGGACTTTGCGCAATTAGTAACTGCGCTTAATATAGGGGGCTAATTCCAGGTTAATCCCCTGGACTTAACCCCCCATAAACTCATCATCATGCATGGCATGATGATGGTGTGACTGCTATAAATATCAACACACGAGATTCAGTACCCGGATATATACTCCGCCTGGGTGAGAGAAAGAGAGCGATAGAAAAATGAGTTCTGTGTTAAGGAGACCCTGGCTACCCCCTTGACTGCTGCAACGCCTCGAACCGATATTCTGGACAACACGCATGTCGAAATGCTAATCATGTATGCAGGTTAGTCACAGGGTGTCGCAAGCCTGACAATTGATAAAAAAGCTGGGCAGTCTGAACAGGCTGCAGCAGGCAGAAAGGAGAACCCCGTTCACTGGCTAGGTAAATATATGCGAGCTCGACATATTGCTGCTGTGTGGCCGCCCACCAATCTGTTTCGCCGTCTTACAGCGTAATCCCGACACCCAGGGTGCCAGGCTACACGGTTGGACAAGAATGCATGGATCGGAACTGTTGAGAAGGAAAATTTTTCCTCTCCTCTTCGTCCACCAACTACGCCGCGGCAACAGCAGCAGCCGTAGTGCTCCGTAGTCACTGAATAGTTGCTGCGTATTGGAGGGCAAGGAGTTATGGCCAACCTCCCGCTATCACAAGCGCATAGCGCCGTTAAGGACCCAGAAACGGGAGTTGAAGTGTTTTCCATTTCCGGTCCAGCTGTTTTCTCAAGCGAAATTTCCAGGGCATCCCTCGCCCTCGCCCTCGCCCCTCCTCTGGCAGTGCAGGGGGGAACGAAAGTCCCCACGCATGCTCCAGTCCTGCCAACGAGCCATCGAATGAGCAGCGTGATATGCAGCAGTCATTTTAGAAAGAATTGGGGCCCACGAATAACTGCTCGAGCTATGCATCGCATCCCAGCAAAGCGCGGCCCTGCTAACCGTAACTATTCTATGCAGCCGACATGGCGTGGATTCTCTCCCCTCGAGCTTTTAATGCAGCCCGCAGGCGAATAGGAGCGAGCAAATGCAGCTGATACGAATCCATTCTTGCTGCCTCCAGTCTCTGCCGCCCTCAACCGAGGGCCTCGATCCGCGGAGGAGACCTTTTCTCTTCCTGTGATAATACTGGCTGGCAATTATGAGGCTGAGTGGCAGGGGAGAAGCCCTCAGGAATAGCAGCAGCAAGAGTCATAGCAGCAGCGGCGGCACAAACACAGCCTGAGGGGGCCATCTGGGCCGTGTGGAAGGATGAAACACGCCATGGCCATGCCAGTCCGTTAATCAACATGAGCCCCGAGCAGGCAGCAAGAGAGCTAGGCGCATCGTGTCGAGATTTACGAGATGAAGGCGATGGGTTACGGTGAAAGCACCAGCAAAAAAAGACAAGATGAAGTTGGCCCAGGCGAAGTTGTTTGAGTTTTTTGCGTTTCGCGGGAAACTAAACTTAACTTTCTTTGAGCGCGAACGGACGTGCGGAAAGTCTATACGCGCGATTGTTTATTGTTAACTACATCACAGCATGAAGAAGACGAGAAGGTCTCACGAGTCAAGTAAAGAAGAGCAATGAACCAGTGGATTAGGGAGTCTACTGGGATGTAGGGAGTCGGGCGTGACTGACGATGAGCTCGATATGATACTACGGATAAGGCTACATGCTATGATGGCCATAGTTGAAGGTGAACGAGCAAGAATAACACAGTGGCCTCTGGATGAAACAACAGCCCATCGTCATAAACATCTTCCGAGACAGAGACATAATGAAAAGGGAGGGACACGCGCGGGTGTTACTCAGAACCACACATGACTTGCCCTATCAAAGCCGCAGGATCCGATTAGTAGGTCGGTTACTCATGATAGTTGGTTAAGTAACTGACAGGCCGGATGAGTAACTCGATGGCGAAACGGAGGATTAAGCAGTGATAAAGTGACGGGCCAGACCCACGTAAGCAGCTCGAGCAGCATCTAATGCCCCTGTTGTTCCTGGGGAGGCAGCTTTTGGCCCCCGGGTACAAGACGCTGAAACACAGCCTTGGGGTCATACTTGCGCTGGACTTGCCAGAGCCGATCCACATTATTTGGGCCATAGCTGGCGATGGCAGCTTGGTTGTAGCCACAGTATGTGAGCATACTGTGCAGATAGTCTAATATTAGCAAACTTTTGCCATGTACCATGCATCATATAGTAGCTGTCAGGGACGGGCCCGGGGTATATATGGTATGGTGGGTAGAGCCAGTAAGCTGGATTGGGGGTTAGGTAGGATGGGGCATACATATATGGATATAGCACCCCTCTTTCCCTAGCTAGCTCGATCATTGACTGAACGAACCTGTCGTGCTCTGGTAAGATATGCTCTTTGTATTGCGGGTCTTCGAAAGTTATCCCGAAAAAGAGGACTAAGCAGATATAAGTTAGATTACTCACACTAAGCGGGTTACATCTCTCCAACTCACCACCTAAAGTACGATTTGCCGCACCTTCCAGGCCAAGTGCATTCCCTCCCTTAAGCCGACCTTGGTGGACTTGTCGTGGGGTGATAGGCATGTTAAGATGGGCCCCTAGGAAACCGGGGACATCTTGGAAGTTCTGAAGCCACTCGCGAAACTTGTAAAGCACGTCTTTGTAAAACTTTTTATCTGCGTAGACAGTGAATACTCGCTGCTCTTGTCTAAATCACGCGCAATTTTAGCCTCCTCTTCGAATATATTAGGCATACTTGACCTACATCAATCCATCGCCGAAGCCTTCGTTTAAATATATAGACAAGTTTTCATAAGTTCGAGGTGCAAGTGTAGAAGAGGTATGAGGGACGTCCAACCACGGCTTCATGATTGGAGGCAGCTCTTCCACATTGTCGTTATAGATCACAGGGGTAAGATTGTAGGTGTCGTTCGTTGACCCGTTATACACCCACTGAGGCATAGCATGAGTAAAAAGGCCTTCCACGGCCTGGCGAGTATGGTAATCATATACCAGGTCATCTACTTTGTCAAGAGACGATTCAGGGTAATGAATGAGGCCACCATATGTAGATCCTGGGGTGGCAACTGTGTTGAAATCAAAGTGAGTAACGACACCGAAGTTGTTATTCCCACCCTTGAGGGCCCAGAAGAGATCTTTGTTCTCCCTTAGATTAGCATTAACCACTTTTCCGTCGGCGAGAACGACTTCGTAATTACGCATATTATCCACAGCAAGGCCATCACGGTTGGAAAAGTAGGAAATACCAGCTCCTACTGCTAGTCCAAGGCCAATTTCACCGTAGCGGCCTATCACTGCAGACAAATTATGGGGGTCAAGAGTAGAATAAATATCCTTTAACAACACACCTGCACCGACGTGGATATACCCTTCTTCTGGGTGTATCTCTGCTGTCTTCATCTGAGACATGACCATCATCACACCGTCATCAATACTAGCCGCTCCGGGGATGTTCGAGTGACCACCGCCTTTGATAGAGAACTTGCATCCATTCTGAGAGAAAAGCATGACTGCACGAGAGACATCTTCGGTAGAGCTAGGTGCGAATATGCATGCGGGATCAAGAACGGCGGTTGCAGCTATTTCAAACGTAAGACCAGACATTCAACGCCACAATAACAGAAACTGAC